GGGCTAGCCCCTTCTCCCGGGCTAGCCCCAGCTCCCGGGCTAGCCCCTTCTCCCGGGCTAGCCCCAGCTCCCGGGCTAGCCCCTTCTCCCGGGCTAGCCCCAGCTCCCGGGCTAGCCCCTTCTCCCGGGCTAGCCCCAGCTCCCGGGCTAGCCCCTTCTCCCGGGCTAGCCCCAGCTCCCGGGCTAGCCCCTTCTCCCGGGCTAGCCCCAGCTCCCGGGCTAGCCCCTTCTCCCGGGCTAGCCCTAGCTCCCAGGATGACCCCATTTCCCAGGCTAGCCCCAGTGGTCACTCAAAATGGACCTGCCCTCAGGTTGTCCACACCACTGACCTGCCCTGTTCCCGTCCTGGAGGGAACTTGCCACCTTCCAGTCTTCTCCTCTTCGCTGCCACAGTTCTCACTTCTGCTTCCTCGTTGTGACCCTTCAGATAGGAACCAGACCCTTGGGATTCTCCTTGCCCCAGAGCGGGTGGGCAGTCAGCTGATGGAGCGTCAGGCTGAGGGAGGGGGTGAAGGGAAGTCCCTTTTGAAAAGGAACCTTTGACACCAACCTTGCTCCCAGGAGAGACGTAGCTTTAGAGAGGGGTTAATAGGATCCCAGGGTGAGAAGTGACCTCAGGGGGGTCATCGAGTCCAACAACCTGAGCTTCGAGGAGTTATCCAAGGTCATACGGCTAGGAAGCACCAAACTCAGTGCCCTCCGACCCCCAACCCTGGGCCTTGGTTGGGAGCAGAGAACGTTTCCATCCTACTCGGAAAAGGCAAACTCACCATTTCTGGGAAGTCATTGTCTCCTCCAGAGGTCCCTAGAAAAGCACAAGGTACACAGGGCATCAGGAGACACTTCCCAGGACTTGGGGGGCTCCTCCTCTGAGTACGTTCTGCCCTTAGCAAAATGGTAAAATGAGTCATTTCTGCCTCCCCTCCCTCAGGCCCTCTTTCCACAGACTCCATGTCTGACTCCTTCAAAGCCCCTCTTCTCCTGCAGAAATCCTTCCCTGATGCTGCCTGTGGTGAGGGTGTATGTATGTATGTATGTATGTATGTATGTGTGTGAGTGTGTGCGTGCATGTGTACATGTGCGTGTGCATGTGTATATGTGTGTGCGTGGATGTGTGTGCTGTGGATGTGTGTGAGTGTGCATATGTGTGCGTGTGTATATTTACGTGTGTGTACATGTGCGTGTGCGTGTGCGTGTGTGTGTCCCAGGAGAAGGTAAGCTCCTTGAGGGCAGGGACTGCTTTTTTAATTTTTTCTTCTTTCGATCCCCAGCACCTGGGACAGTATTTGGAATGCAGTAGGAGCTTAATAAATGCTCATCAAATTGAATTGAACCAAACCAAACTCTTGGAAAAGTCCTGGAGATGCCTGAAAACAAGAGTAAACCTTCAGACATGGGGAGATACGGAGAATTACGCCTCCATCACCCCATTAGGGGAGGGCAGGTATTATTATCCCCATTTTGCAAAGGAGGAAACTGAGGATCAGGAAAAGCTCAGGCTGGGACAAGTGGATGGGGTGTGAGGAACTATCAAATCCAATCCAGAAAGGGAAACTGAGGCCCAGAGAGAGAACGCCCGCACAGCGAGCAGGCAGGGGGGCTGGGCTTGGAGCTTGGGCTCTGTCCTCAGTGCCTTCAGGAGGCCAGGCCAACAGGTGCTCCCAGGCGCACTCTGGAGTTGGTCCTGGCTCTACCCACTCATCCTCCCTCTACTCACCGGCCGGGGCCCACTTCATCTCCACATAGAGGGTGCAGACAAAAGGGTAGGGCTCCAGGAAAGCCGCCCCGTGCTTGAATCTCAGGTGCGACACCCGCTCCCATTTGCTCTTATCTGTGCAGCCAGGGCTAAGGAGCTCACAGGGAGTTGAGGCAGGACCTAACGCTCCTGGAAGGGGGCGGGGTGTTGCCGGCTCCCCCCTCCCTCCCTCCCTCCAAAATGGACCAGGCTTTGTCAGGCCCAACAGGGAGGGATTTCAAGGGGCCCAACCCAGACGTCCCTCAGCAAGAAAGCCCAAGTGACTTCTAGTCTTTAAACAAGTTTACAGACTAGGTTATCCACGTCTTTCCTAAAATATGGAGCCCAGAACAGACCATGGTGCTCCAGGTGTGGTCTGACCGGGGCAGAGGATCATGGGATATATGGCCCCCTTCTCTTCTCCCCTCCCTCCCCGTGGGGTTCCCTCCTCTTTCTTTCTCTGCCCCCCCCAGTCCTGGACACTCTGCTCCTCTCAACATCCCCCAAGATGCCATTGGCTTCCTTCACCGCCATGTTCTTTGTAGACTCATGTGGAACTAGAACTCAGACGGCACCCCCAGAAGAAAAGATACAGGGAAATATGATGAAGTGGTCAGTGGTAAATGGCTGCAAATTGTCCAGGTTCCCCAAGACGGCCCGAATGGAGTCCTAAAAATGGAAAAATGCCTGCTTTAACACGAGTAAAGTCAGCCGGCTAAGCCCACCTGTGTCGTCCTCGCCTTCTTCTGGGTCGACTGCTGTGTTTATTCCGCTCAGCTGAAGGCAGGAGGGATGTGCTAGGAGTTGTGCGTTACTGTACGTCCCCCGGGATGCTGGCTGGGCCTCTGGCTGGCCGGGAGGAGGTTCTCAGTGACTCTGGAACTTGCACATTTGGGCAGGTGTCTCTATGTGGGCAATGACACTTGGAAAACACTCCCTGTATCTACTGGGCGCCAAGGCCGATGGCGAGGCCAAGGCCACTTTGGAGGGAGACTGGACACTCTAGGGATGCAACGGAAAGTCACGGGCCTCAGAGAACTGGGGACACGGCACCCACGAGTGTTTCTAATTAAGGGGAAGACGAGGCCGCCTGGCCCGGGTATTTACAGTCGGGTTTCCTGGACTGTCAGGCCCAGGCAGGGGCAGAGCCAGGGACTCAGGCCAGAGCCCTGGGAGGCGCCGTCCTTCTGGAAGCAGGCTGCCCGTCGCCCTGACCTTGGGCAGAATCATAAGGTCTTACCGCATCAGCACTGAAGGTGCTGACATTTCAGCCAGCAGGAATGAGAAAGGTCAGAGGCTTTAAATGAATAAAAAAATCCAGGAAAACAGGAAATTTGCACAACTGAGCCCTTCCCGGTGGAGCAAGCTATATAGGGAGAGACCGGGACAAGCAGTGGGCATTGAGACTTCAGGGCCCCAGGAGCAGCCCCTCCCCTCGGGGCCTTCAGCACAAAGGAGCCTCTTTCCTGAAAGACGTCGGCTTCTTGCAATCCCTACCTCCAGCTCCTGGCTGACAACTTTCTTATCCGCTATCTCTTCCCCTCTGGAAGGCAAATGAACAAATGAGTCATGATGATGGAAATCTCCAGAGAGAGACTTTGTCTTCAGCCCAGGAAGATGCAGCAGAAATCAGAAAGACAGACAGAGCAACAGCTTGGAAGGTGGCAAAAGGGAACAGTGACTGTTGGATGGGTCACGGGAAGAAAGCAACACTCATACACTATTGGTGGACCTGCACACGGTGACAATTCTGGGAGGGGGAAATTGGGATTGTGTGAGAAAAGTACGTGTTCACGAACAGGGTGCTCCAACAGGTTTAGTACAGTTTAAAGCTTTTGAAGTTACAAGTTACGCTAAATATGAAGGGATTAAGGCTTAAAATTCCTCTAATGCTCTTGAAACATCCTGTATATGTGAAAATATTAATAACATTTGGGGAGGGGTTCAGAGAAACATTGGAAGTTTCCTATGAACTGACGCGGATGGCAAGGGTTGGGCATTCATTGAATTCTCGCTCGGCTTAGGCCTTCATCTCATCTGGTACAATGCGTGGAATCTGTGCCTCATTTGTAATGGGCACTCCATCCGCTGAGGGGCCCATGCCTTCTCTGGGCTTCCACAGTTCTCTCCTCTGTACCCCTATGGCTTAGCCTGCCACATATTAAATGCATTCATTCTCTCTGCAGAGAAGGGCCTGGGTTCGAATCCTGCCTCTGACGTGATCTGTCATTGGTGTAGTAACTTCCCTTCCCTTGGCCTCAGTTTCCTCATCTGTGAAACATGGTGCTTGGGTTAGAAGGTCCCTTCCAACCTGAGACCTGGGAGCCTATAAAAACAGGCTGGGGCATGATCTCTGGATCTCTCTCTATCGGCCCTTCCAGGTCTAACCTCACCAGCCAACGAAACTATAATCAGTGTGTCCCAAAGTCTTTTTGCTTATTAGCTTCATTTCTGGATACAACCCCCTCATTTTGCAGTGGAGGAAATGCAGGCCCAGAGAAAGGGAGTGGCCTAAGGTCGTAAGTGATGGAATGGGATTAGAACTCAGATCCGCTGACCCCCACCCAGGGTGTTGTCCACAGCGCCCTAAGCCCGCCTTCCAGGTGGCTTCCTTGGTTGCTGCGGCCTGTACTGGTTAAACTAAGTGAAGACCTCTAGGGCTTCTGTGAAGGGCTCAGCGTCTCCAAACTGAGGCAGGCTCAGACAGGTACCCAGATACTCCTGCCCTGGGCCCAGCCCCAAGCCTCCCCAGACTGGGAGGGCCTGATGGATAGATCGTGGCCTGGGGAGCTCCGGCCCAAGCCGTTCCACAGCTCACCAAAAGGTATTTATAAAGCACCTACTATGTGCCAGGAGCTGGGGAGACAAAGCGAGAATGTGGCCCCTACACTTGAGGACATAACATGAATATAATTACACACACACACACACACACACACACACACACACACGAGGGCAGAGACCGCCCTTTGTCTCTTTTTGTATCCCCAGCACTCGGCACAATGCCTGGCACACAGTAGGTGCTTAATAAATGCTCATTGACAGAGTGATTAAGGCTCCACTGACTTTCCCGCCCATTAGCTCCATTCTGGCAAGAACAGTCAAGGACAGACCCTCCCTGGATCCATCCAAGCCGCCGCTGGAAAGGCGGAATTTGAACCCGTATCTTCTAGTAGGAACTCCTTTTGTGAATGAGAGGTTGGCCAGAGGACAGCTGAAGTCCCGTCCCGCTCTCAGATCATGGGATTCTGTGACGCCAAGTTTGTCCCAAAAGAAATCTATCTAAAGGGCAGTCAGGTGGCCCTGGCGTCAAGAAGACCCGAGTTCAAATCCAGCCTCAGACGCTTGCCAGCTGTTAATCCCAACTGCCTCAAAGAAAAAGAGAAGAAAAGAGAACAGAAGCTTCCGTCCTCAGAAGCAGCCCCGTGGATCCGGGCTCGGCTGTCCTGGCCCCCTCCTGGCCTGGGCAGACCCAGCCCGGGCAGAGGTAGAGGGGGATGGACCGGAGGAGGGGCCCGAACCCAGTACCTGACACTGCTGCCGTATCTGATCTTGAACTTGTACAAGCTGGTGCCGGCGTGGAGGAACCGCGTCTCCGGGAGCGGGTATGTGAAGGCCTGCAGACTCATAGCTTCGGCCTGGAGCCTAACGAAAGCAAAGGGACGGTCCAGAAGGAGCAGAAAGCCAAAGCCACTGCTTCTGACTGCACCTCCCGGGAGGACAGGGGGGTGGTCCTCAGGGGCCAAGTGCCTCAGTTCTTGACCCCCAGTCCCAGGGCCACAGAGGGTACTGAGAAATCCGGGGGAAGGAGGAGAGAGTCACAGTGCTCCCATCGTACAGAAAGGGAAACTGAGCCCCAGAGGGCCTCCCTTGCCCAATGTCACCCAGCCGGCTAGTCATGGGGCCCAGGGTGAGGCTGCTTTCAGTCTCCCTGGGTATTAACCCGGCAGCTGGACCCCTCTGGGTCTCTAGTCTTTACCTCTAAATTGGGATGCATGGGGTGTGGTGGGCAAACACCCCCAGAGTCAGGGAGACCTGGGTTCCAATCCCACTTCGGACACTTACACGCTGTGTGACTCTGGGCAGGTGACATCACCTCCCTTTGCCTCGGTTTCCTCATCAATAAATGATATCCACACCAGCGTGTCTCTGTCTCAGTGGGCTGGGATGACCTATGGAACTCCATCTTGACAGGAGTGGAAATGCCAGGGCTAATTATCTCAGCCCCCTGCTGGGGGACCTCGCACCTGGGGCACCCTGCCTGGCCAGGGCAGGGCTCTCTGTGGGCCCTGCCCCGGTCTGCTGCTAGGGCCTCCTTTGAGGTGCTGACGCCCCTCAATGGGAGGGATGGGGGATGGGGGGCTGCGGCCTGGGAGGCCTCAAGTGTGGGAAAGGAGAAGGCAGAGAAGGCAGGACTGGGGCTCAGCCGTCTGAAAGCAGGAAGAAACGACCGTCTTTCGAGCCTCGGCCTGTAGTAATTGCTGGTAATTGCCGGCTGCCAGCCCCAGACTCATGACTCCATGTGAAACCCGAGATCAGGTGGCTTTGCAGGGCCCAGGCTCAGACACTCCGCAAGGAGCCCTGGGTGGCTCAGACTCCCACCCCTCCCAGCGGCTTGGGGGGACGGGCCCTGCCGAGGTGCCCGGGCATCCTCCAACCGACGCATGGGTCCGAGCTCAGGAGCTTGGCCCCTAGCGAGAGATGCGCTGTTTCAGCAAAGAAAAACTTGGATCCTTTGTTTCATGAGGGGCCAGGATGGCAAACCTGGAGTACGGCTGTGGGCTCGGAGCCACAGCCGGTCATGGTGACGATGGTGACCGAGGGTGAGGGAAGGGGAGGGTGGTGAGAGAGAGGAGAGGGGAGGAAGGAGGGGAGGAGGAGGAGGAGGGGGAAAGAAAAAAGGTCCTGCACGCAGGTCCAGAAGGGACCTCAGAGGTTAAAGAGGCAAGTTCCCCATCTGAAAAATGGGAGCAACAACGCGGACCTCCAGGCTGCAGGGAGGACAGGAACGGCCAACGTTGGTAACGCAGAACACTTGTAAACCTTGTGCTGATCACATGTCCGGTCCGCTGATTATTACTAATTACTATTATTAATTTGATACCATATTGTTTGCCTTCTTAATGGCAAATTTGGAGAATCTGGAACTCAAAACTTTAAAAAATGAATGTTAAAAATAAAGAAATGATAGATTTTTAAAAAACATAAACCTTCCAAACCTTCCTGATAAAAAGACCAGAGCTGACCAGAAAATTTGATCTTCAAATACAAGACTCAAGAGAGACATAACGAGGCAAACGGGACAGCAAAAAAACATGTTATTAACAAGGGCAAACTGTTTACACCCCTACAAGGGAAGATGACACTTGTAACTCTTGAGAACTCTATTATTATTACACCATGTTAAAGGCTATACATAAAGGGGGTGGGTATAAGTTGACTTTGATGTTGTGACAAAAGAAAATCTAATCAAGTGGGTTAAATGGATCGAAGTAAAGTGGATTAACCTGATCTAACTAAGAAGATACTAACTAAGTACTGAGAGAAAAGGAAAGGAAGAGGCAGACAAGGGTAATGTAATTACATTACAGGAAAAGGCACAAAAACCTACTACAGCAGAAGGAAAGAAGGGAGGGGGAGGAGCATTGTCTGAACCTTCCTCCCATCAGATTTGGCTCAAGGAGGGAATGACATCATCAGTTAGGTCTAGAAATCTAACTGGCCCTATAGGCAGTAGGAGGGAAAAGGAGAAAGAAAAGGGAGGGGGATAGAAGGGAGGGAAGAATCAGTAAGGGTAAAGGGGAAGAAAAGGGAGGGGGCTAATAGAAGGGAGGAGGGACTGAAGGAGACGGTGGTCCAAAGCAAAACACTGGTGAGGAGGGAAAGGGAGAAAGGAGAAAGAAAAGCATAAATGGGAGGAAATAGGATGGAGAGAGAGACACAGATAGTAATCATAACTGTGAATGTGAATGGGTTGAACTCTCCCATAAAATGGAAGTGTATAGCAGAATGGATTAAAAACCACAATCCTACAATATGACAGGAAACACATTTGAAACACACACAGGGTAAAGGTAAAAGGCTGAAGCAGAATGTATTATGCTTCAGCTGAAGTAAAAAAAAGCAGGGGTAGCAATCCTGATCTCAGACAAAGCAAAAGCAAAAATAGATGTTATCAAAAGAGATAAGGAAGGAAACTACATCCTGCTAAAAGGCACCATAGACGATAAAGTAATATCAGTACTAAACATACATGCACCAAGTGGTATAGCATCCAAATTCTTAGAGGAGAAGTTTGGGGAGTTACAGGAAGAAATAGACTATACTAGTGGGGGACCTTAACCTCCCCGTCTCTGAACTAGATAAATCTAACCACAAAATAAACAAGAAAGAAGTTAAGGAGGTGAATAGAATATTAGAAAAGTTAGGTATGATAGACCTCTGGAGAAAATTGAATGGGGATAGAAAGGAATATACTTTTTTCTTGGTGGCACATGGCACATACACAAAAATTGACCATGTACTAGGGCATAAAAACCTCACAATCCAATGCAGAAAGGCAGAAATATTAAATGCATCATTTTCAGATCATGATACAATAAAAATTATACGTAATAAAGGGCCATGGAAAGATAGACTAAAAAATAATTGGAAACTAAATAATGTAATCCTAAAAAATGAATGGGTCAAACAACAAATCATAGAAACAATCAGTAACTTCATCCAAGAAAATGACAATAATGAGACCACATACCAAAACTTATGGGATGCAGCGAAAGCAGTTCTTAGGGGAAGTTTTGTATCTCTAAATGCTTACGTGAATAAAATAGAAAAAGAGGAAATCAATGAATTGGGCATACAACTAAAAAAAACTAGAAAAAGAACAAATTAAAAATCCTCAATTAAACATCAAATTAGAAATACTGAAAACCAAAGGAGAAATTAATAAGATTGTAATTAAGAAAACTATTAAACTAATAAATAAAACTAAGAGCTGGTTTTATGGAAAAAAAAACCAATAAAATACATAAACCTTTGGTTAATTTAATTAAAAAAAGAAAGAAGAAAACCAAATTACCAGTATCAAAAATGAAAAGGGTGGATCCACCACAAAGGAAGAGGAAATTAAAGCGATAATTAAGAACTGTTTTGCCCAACTGTATGCCAATAAATTTGACAATCTTAGTGAAGTGGATAAATATTTATAAAAATATAAGTTGCCCAGATTAACAGAAGAGGAAGTAAAATACTTAAATAACCCCATCTCAGAAAAAGAAATTGAACAAGCCATTGATGAACTCCCTAGGGAAAAATCTCCAGGGCCAGATGGATTTACATGCCAATTCTATCAAACATTTAAAGAACAACTAATTCCAATACTATATAGACTATTTGGGAAAATAGGTGAAGAAGGAGTCTTACCAAATTCTTTCTATGATACAAATATGGTGCTGATACCTAAACTGGGAAGAGTCAAAACAGAGAAAGAAAATTATAGACCAATTTCCCTAATGAATATAGATGCAAAAATTTTAAATAAAATATTAGCAAATAGATTACAGCAACTTGTCACAAGAATAATACACTATGACCAGGTAGGAGTTATACCAGGAATGCAGGGCTGGTTCAATATTAGGAAAACTATCTGCATAATTCATCATATCAACACCAAAACTAACAGAAACCATGCAATCATCTCAATAGATGCAGAAAAAACTTTTGACAAAATATAACACCTATTCCTATTAAAAACACTAGAGAACATAGGTATAAAAGGAGTCTTCCTTAAAATAATAAATAGCATCTACCTGAAACCTTCAGCAAGCATAATATGTAATTGGGACAAGCTAGAAGCATTTCCAATGAGATCGGGGGTGAAACAAGGATGTTCATTATCACAACTGGTGTTCAATATCATACTGGAAACGTTAGCTTTAGCAATAACAGAAGAAAAATAAATTGAAGGTATTAGAATAGGTAAAGAAGAAACAAAGCTATCACTCTTTGCAGATGATATGATGATATACTTAGAGAATCCCAGAGAATCAAGTAAAAAACTACTTGAAATAATAAACAATTTTAGAGAAGTTGCAGGCTATAAAATAAACCCACATAAATCATCAGCATTTCTATATATTACAACAAAGCCCAACAGCAAGAGATAGAAAGAGAAATTCCATTTAAACTTACTGTAGACATTATAAAATATTTAGGAGTCCACCTCCTGAAACAAACCCAGGAACTCTATGAACCCAATTACAAAACACTTTTCACGCAAATAAAGTCAGATCTAAATAATTGGAAAAACATCAGTTGTTCATGCGTAGGCTGAGCTAATATAATAAAAATGACAATTCTACTCAAGCTAATTTACTTATTCAATGCCATACCAATCAAACTACCAAAAAATTATTTTATAGTGTTAGAAAAAATAATAACAAGATTCATTTGGAAGAACAAAAGGTCCAGAATATCAAGAGAACTAATGAAAAGAAAAGCAGGGGAAGGTGGCCTAGCCATTCCAGATCTTAAATTGTATTATAAAGCAGCAATCATCAAATCTGCTTGGTACTGGCTAAGAAATAGAGTGGTGGATCAGTGGAATAGGTTAGGTATGCAAGACACAGTAGTCCATGACTATAGTAATCTATTATTTGATAAACCCAAAGACCCCAGCTTCTGGCATAAGAACTCACTATTTGAGAAAAACTGCTGGGAAAACTGGAAAAGAGTATGGCAGAAACTAGGTATAGAGGGGCAGCTAGGTGGCACAGTGGATAGAGCACTGGCCCTGAAGTCAGGAGGACCTGAGTTCAAATCTGACCTCAGACCAAACACTTGACACTTACTAGCTGTGTGACCCTGGACAAGTCCACTTAACCCCAATTGCCTAAAAAATAAAAAAAAATAAAAAATAAAATAAATAAATAAATAAAAAATTTTTAGGGGGCAGCTAGGTGGTGCAGTGGATAGAGCACTGGCCCTGAAGTCAGGAGGACCTGAGTTCAAATCCGGCCTCATACCAAACACTTGACATGTACTAGCTGTGTGACCTTGGGCAAGTCACTTAACCCTGATTGCCTCACTAAAAAAAAAAAAAAAAAGGTTAGAAACTAGGCATAGACCAAAATCTCACACCATATACCAAAATAAAGTCAAAATGGGTTCATGATTTAGATATAAAGGCTGATACTGTAAGCAAACTGAGAGAGCAAGGAAGAGTTTCAGATTTATGGAAGACAGAAGAATTCTTGACCAAACAGGAGATAGAAAACATTGCTAAATGCAAAATGCATAACTTTGATTACGTTAAATTGAAAGGTTTTGCATAAACAAAGCCAATGCAACCAATATTAGAAGGAAAGTAGAAAATTGGGAAAGAATTTTTACCACTAGTCTCTCTGATAAGGGCCTCATTAAGAATACAAGTCATTCCCCAATTGATAAATGGTCAAAGGATATGAACAGGCAGGTCTCAGATGAAGAAATTAAAGCCATCTATAGTCATATGAAAAAATGCTCTAAATCACTATTGATTAGAGAAATGCAAATCAAAACAACTCTGAGGTACCACATCACACCTATCAGATTGGCCAACATGACAAAACAGGAAAATGATAAATGTCGGAGATGTGGGAAAATGGGAACACTAATGCATTGTTGGTGGAGTTGTGAACTGATCCAACCAGTCTGGAGACCAATTTGGAACTATGCCCAAAGAGCTATAAAAATGTGCATACCCTTTCTCACCCAGCAATAACACTTCTAGGGTTGTACCCCAAAGAGATCATACAAATGGGAAAAGGACCCACATGTACAAAAATATTTATAGCAGCTCTTTTTGTGGTGGAAAAAAATTGGAAATTGAGGGAATGCCCATCAATTGGGGAATGGCTGAACAAGTTGTGGTATATGAATGTGATGGAATACTATTATGCTATAGGAAATGATGAACAGGCAGACTTCAGAAAAATCTGGAAAGACTTGTATGGTCTGATGCTGAGTGAAGTGAGCAGAGCCAGGAGAATATTGTACGCAGTAACAGCCACGTTGTGCAATGACTAACGTTGATAGACTTAGCTCTTCTCAGCAGTGCAAGGATCTAAGACATCTCCAAAGGCCTCGTGACAGAAAATGCTATCCACATCCAGAGGAAGAGCTATGGAGTTTGAATGCAGATTGAAGCATACTATTTGCTCTTTTTTTTCCTTCAGTTGTGTTTTGTTTCCTCTTTCTGGTGGCCTCTTATTGGTTCTAATTCTTCCTTACAACATGACTAATGTGAAAATATGTTTAATAGGAATGTATAAGTATAGCCTATATCAGATTGCACGCTGTCTTGGGGAGGGAGGGGGGAGGGAGGGGGAGAAAAATTTAAAACTCAAAAGCTTATGGAAGTAATTGTTGATAAATCAAAATAAATTAATTAAAAAACATACCCCAAATCTTATTACTAGCTTGATTATAGCACAGTTAGGGCAGCTAGATGGTACAGTGAAGAGAGCACCAGGCCTGGAGTCCAGAGGACATGAGTTCAAATCCGGCCTCAGACACTTACTAGCTGTGTGACCCTGGACAAGTTACTTAACCCTGTCTGTCTCAGTTCCCTCAGTCTGTAAAATGGGGATAATAATAGTACCTACCTCCCAGGGTTGTTGTGAGGATCAAATGAGATAATAACGGTAAAGCCTGTAAGCACACAGCAGGCACTTAATAAACACTCGTTTGCTCCCTCCCTCCCCCCTTCCCTCCTGGTAAGGGGGTCACCAAGCTGAGCCAAGGTCCCTTCACTTTCGGGCGGGCTCTCTGGGTAGCCGGGTGCCTTCCAGCTCTCACCTTCTCGAGTCTAAGGGCTTCAGGACTGACCCATGGATGGTGAAGCTGGAAGAGATCTCACAGGTCCCACAGATAGGAAGTGTCTGAGGTGGATTTGAGCTCAGGTTTCCCTGACTCCAGGCCCAGTGCTCTGTGCACTATGGCGCCACCTAGCCGGATTGTGGGTTTGGATATGGAAGGGCCCTCATTTTACAGATGAGGAAACTGAGACCCAGGTCCCCTGGTACTAAATCCAGGGCCTTTTCCACTCCCTCAGGCAAGAAGTCTGGCGGCACTGAGAGGCCCCCTCCTCAGAATAAGGTTTTTTAAATGCCATGAAATACACAGCTGTGACATTCCACATTCTAAAGGCCCCCCCAGCTCTGACACCCCACATTCTGAGGCCCCTCCCAGCTCTGACACCCCACATTCCGAGGCCCCTCCCAGCTCCATGCCCTCTCATTGCAGGCCGTGGCTATTGTGTGGAGCATTTGCCTCAGCCTTGGCACAGACCTGTTTTCAGTGCCAGTGGGCACGGGCCTTTGCCAGCATTTCTGCCCTCCCTCATGCCGCAAGGTCAGCCCAAGTGGCCTGGGAAATGGGCTGAGGAGGCCCGCCAGGCCCTGGCTGCTGCAGTAACCTGAGAGGCAGTGGCAGGCGGGGGCAGAGCCCCAAACCTGGCGTCGGGGGCGGGGTCCAAACCTTCCTTCTGTTGTTTGCAGCTGTAGGACCCAGGGAGATACTTAACCTTGCCAGTCCTCAGCTTCCTGCTCTGTGAAATGGGCACGATAAGGAGCGGAGCAGGGTCTGGGGTCAGAGGTCCCGAGTTGAAATCTAGACTTTTACTTACTCTCTGTGGCCTTGGGGGAGGAGGGAGTTAGTTTTGCAGACCTCAGTCCCCTGTCTGTACAATGGGCAGGATTTAGGAAGGGCCCTGGGTCGGAAGGAGGGGCTCTGCCCCTGCCTAGCAGCGCTTTCCCCTCCTCCGTAAAGCGCAAAGCGGGGGAGGGGGCCTCGAGGCTCTGGGCCTGCTCTGCCTTTACCTCCCCTCCCCCACCCCTGGGGCCAGCTGGGGGAGGAGGGGCTCACCTCAATGACCCCAGTCCCCTCCCCCATCTGCCCTGCCCCTGGGGCCGCTGCCACCAAACAGTGACGTCAGGAGGCCAGAGCTGGCAAGCAGGGGCCCGGGAAGCCCAGGGGGAAACTGAGGCTGGGAGCTGGGCGTGGGCATCCGCAGGGGCGAGGTGAGCACTTGGAGGCTTGCCAAGCAGCCCCTGAAGTGATGTCCTCCCAGTCACCCTGGTGGGGGCACGGTTTTCACACCCACTGTATAGCTGAGGAAACTCAGGCTGAGGCAGGTCACACATAACCAAGAAAGGTCACAGGGGAGATTGGAACCCAGGACTTCCTGACTCCTGGCCTAGGCAGGCCCCGTCCCTTCTGGGCCTCAGTCTTATCATGTTGCTGTCATGGCCATTACTATAATTGTTGTTATTTGCTAAAAATAATTATAAATATCAAATCAGAATTAATTAAAATTTTAAATAAAGAAAAATAAATTTAAAAATAATTTTGACATTTATAAATTATTAATAAAATGTAATGTGATATTATTATTAATAGTAATTGTTCACATAGACATAGCACTTCAAGGTTAACAAAAAGCATTCTTCACAGCAGTCTCAAGGAAACGACTTAACCTCTCTGTTCCTCAGTTTCCCCCCTGCAAAAGAAAGGGCTTGGATGAGCCAGCCTCTCCTGGCGCCTGGGGTCCAAGGGCTCAGGGGAGCCCCTGCTCTGCTTAAGTGGCTTTTTGGGCCCTCAGGAGATAAGGGGACCCCTTGGTCGCCATCCCTGGAAGGGAAGCCCCCCCTTAGAATGTAAGCTTTCTGAGGTCAGGGACTGACTCACTTTGGTATCAAGATCCCTGGCGACGAGGACGTGGAAGGACTCATTCACTTCATTCATTCAACGACAACTCCCGTTTGTGGATGGCTGCACATCACTTTACACGCACCAACTCGTTGGCGCCTCCTGTATTTACAGAGGGGGTCGATCATTCAATAGAGTTTCTGAGAGAGAGTAGCTGGTGCACCAGGGGTAGAAGAGAGTCCTGTCTTGCGGAGGTTACTTCACGTATAAACATTGTTAAAAACACGCAGCTAATCCAGCCTCAGACACTTCCTAGCTGTGTGACCCTGGACGAGTCACTTCACCCTGTCTACCTCAGTTTCCCCATCTGTAAAATGAGCTGGTGAAGGAAAGGACAAACCACTCCTGTATCTCTGCCAAGAAAACCCCCAATGGGGTCACCAAGAGTCAGGCACGACTGAATTGATTTGTTAAAAATAAAGCAACATGTGCAACTGTACTTTGAGTACATTTATTGTTCAACGCGTTACTTGTCAATCGCCAGCAGAAAAATAAATATTTTATGTTCCAGCTAGCCACTTATTTTCATCAATTGATTGGGTGGCCGAAGACAGAAAAGGAATTTCCATCTTTCAGCAAGACAGTAAAATTCTTCCCTCCTTTTCTACCAGCTATTTGTGCGAGAGTTCTTACTTTATTCTTGCTTGAAATCAGGACACAAAAAGACACTCAGTGCAGAAGCAGATCAGAGACTGTGTTTGTCTGGTGTTGAGGCAAATATTTCAAACCCTTTTTCGGATTTTAAAAGCATGACATTGAAATTGTTTGGCCACGATTATTATGTTACATTAAACGTCTTCCAAGTTGTAACTTGATTTAATTTAAAGTGGTTTCATAGCCAATAAAACATGTAAAATAAAGAAATTTCATATGAAATCTTGCAGATAATAGCATAAGGTCTTGCTGGATTCCTGCTTTGAATTCTTACCAAATGTCCTGCATAAAGTATTTATTCTCATGAAGAGGTTTATAATTTGATGTTTAGAGTTTTCACAACCATAAGTGGAATAAAGTTTTCTATTTTATCATCATAATTATGTAATGTTCATTTTAATTTGGAGCTCCTTTTTTTTGGGCAAAAGCTGTTATTTGTTTAAAGACTGATCTAGAGCAGCTAGGTGACACAGTGGATAGAGCTCTGGCCTTGGAGTCAGGAGGACCTGAGTTCAAATCCAGTATCAGACACATAACACTTACTAGCTGTGTGACCCTGGGCAAGTCACTTAACCCCAACTGCCTAACCAAAAAAAAGCCAAAAAAAAAAAAAAAAAAGACTGATCTAAAAGAATATTATGTTAAATTACCCTGGTGGTCCACAGCAAGGTTTGTATCATCCTTGAGAGGGATTTGAGGAACAAAAAAACTGCCTGGGTGTGCCTGTATGCAGTAAGCACTTAATAAATGCTCGTTTGCTGAGTAACTATCCAGCTTCAACAGTTTTCCTCTTCCCCGGGGTTCCTCCACTCCCAGGCCTTCACTAGGATCTTTGAGCAACCTAGCTGGTTGAAGGACCGGCTAACAGTCCAGGTCACTTTTCTCATAAAGGCTGCTCTCGTGGCCGTGGCTGGACCCTGTAACATATTCCCAGAGTCCAGGGACCCCCTGCTGGTGCAGGTGGCCATTGGCTCCGTAAAACAAAGAGTGGCGGGCCATTAAGTTCGTCCTCACCCTCGATGTCAGGCTTAGCTCCAAAGCCTCCTGAGCCTGGGTCCTGGCTCTGAAGCTTGATCTAGGCTCAGTGAGAGGGGGAATGGGCCCCACGCTTCCCCTTCACCCCTTCCTATGTTGGGGTGCCAGAGGCCGGAAGGCCATGGCTGACGTGGGAGGGCAGGCAGACGTCTGCCAGTGACCGACGTCCTTCAGAGAACTGGCTGTGCGCCCCACGGGGGCCTCTAAGGTTCTGGATAGGATGACACTGGCCAGCGGCGGTGGACGGCGGCGTTTCCCCTTGATCAAACGTACGCGCACTGACGTCTCCTGCTGCTTTCTATCCTTCCTTGACCTCCCCAAGAAGAACCTCTAAGCCGTCCGTCTGTTTGGCCTCGACTTCCTCCTCTCTTCCCGTTTTATTTATAGTGAGAAATCACCACTGATGAGATTCCACCCATTGGTCATGAGACCAGGTTAGAATATCAACAGCTGAGTTAACGTTGCCAGCCTAAAAACTGTATTTCTTGGCCCCCTTGGCCCCTTGCCCAACATTCCATCACTCTTAGGAGGCGCCATTTTCTTTCTTTCTTTCATGGGTTTCCACGGCCAAAGAATTCATCACCGAGTGGCAGGAGGCATCTCGGGGCATGGCAGATAGAAAGTCAGGAAGACACACTTACCAGCCTCTTGACCTGGCAAATCTCTTCTCCTGTCTGGGCCTCAGTGTCCTCATCTGTAAAATGAGGGAGTTGGACTGAAGGGCCTCTAAGGAAGGCTCCTCCAGCTCCGAACCTCTGATTGTACAGCCCTGTGACCTCCAGACTCTGCTCTACTGCTCTCCCCAACGCCGGCTCCTCATTGGTTCTGGGGCCAAACCCAGGCTTCTCTGTTAGCTTCCAAAGCCCTCCTGACTCCCTGGCCAACTCTCTCTCCTCTGGATGGCCCCGCGCTGCCTGGGAATGCTCCCTCTTCTCCCAAGGCCTGGGGACCCCCCTGGGCTCCTGTGAAATCCCTCAACGGGCACCTTCCACATGAAGGACTTTAGCTAAAGCTTCCTGAGGGCAGGCCCGGTTTCATTTTCGCTTAGTGCAGGGCCTGGCACATAGTAGGCACTTAACACTAGAAGCACTGAGTCTATCCAGAGATCTCAGACGGAGATCAGAAAGACATGGATCAAATCCTGTCCCCAGCACTGGCTGTCTGATCACAGGCAGCTTACTCAGGGCCTCTGTCTCCTCTTCCATAAAATGGGAATGATAATCCAAATTGGACATATCTTCATGGGCTGTTGAAAGTTTCAAATGAAGTCATGCAGGGAAAACACTTTGTGAACTCTAATGGGCAGAAAGATGAACAGAGACTAAATTTGAACCCAGGGCTTCCGTGAAAAATCCAGCCCTGTTTCCACTGCACCCTCCTGCCTCATACCCAGGTATACAAAGCCATCCCTGCCCAATGGCAGCTCATGATCCAGCATTGTACTCCAATTGTACATGTGTGAATTGCTTTAAAAAAACCTTTAATCATGGTATCTACATGTATGTATATACATGTCCACAGATGCATAGAAATAGAGATTGGCAGATAGGTAGACAGGTAGGGAGAGAGACAGAGACAGAGACAGACAGAGACAGAGACAGACAGAGAGAGACAGAAAGGGAGAGAGAGAGAGAGAAGGTAGGCAGGTGGGCCTGCAGTTTGGTGGCACAGCAGATAGAGTGCCAGGCCTGGAGTCAGGAAACCTGAGTTCAAATCCAGCCTCAGACTTTTACTAGCTATGTGGCCCTGGGCAAGTCACCTCACCCTGTTTGCCTCAGTTTCCTCATTTGTAAAATGAGCTGGAGAAGGAAATGGCAACCCACTGCAGCATCTTAAGCCCCACATGGAGTCACAAAGAGTCAGACACGACTGAACAACAGGTAGGTGGGTAAGTAGGTAGGGCCCATTACCCCTCAATTAAATCATGAATTAAGGCTGGAAAGGCAGCAGAGAGCGGATTGTGAAATTTGAGTTTCACCCCAGAGACAAGATTCAGAGGCTCATAGATTTAGAGCTGGAAGCTCGTTTCTTATTTTACAGCTGAGGAAACTGAGGCAGAGATGAAGTGACTTGCCCAGGGTCCCACGGCTACTTTGTATCTGAGGCAGGATTTGAATAAAGGTCTTCCAGACTCCAGGCCCCAGGCTCCAGCCACTACCCTGATGCTTGCTAGCTTTGTAAGCTGGACAAACCGTATGATCTTTTCAGGGCTCAATTTTCTACTCTGTAAAATGGGGTCATAATATGTACTTATCCTTCTGGCCTCACAGGGCTTTGGATTACGAGTTCTCCCCCGCTGGCCCTATCTCCTGAAGATCTTCATCCTCAATTATGTCCTGGATTGTTGCTCCCCAGGGCTGGCCCCACCCGCCAGAAGGAAGCTTGGCCAGGAGCACCGGCTAACAGGGGAATTCCCCCCAAGAGACCCGGAGAATGGAGGCAAGGCAGGCAGGCCTGCTCGGGATGCGGAGCTAGCTGTCCTCGCTCAGGAGGAGAACCAGGAAAGGTGGCTGAACTCCTGGCTAGTCCTCTAGAGAAGCTGCTTCCTGCCTCCCCCCGGGGCCGAAGGAGTCCCTGAGGCAGCAGCCTCACTTCCTGCTTCACCTGGGCCTCCCTCAGAGGCCAGCCCAGTGGCTCACTGGCTCTTATGGGGCTCGGGCTAGTGCCGTCACACAGGGCCGGCTGTGTCCACCGACAAGGCAGCCGGGGCCCCAGCCCCCCATGGGCTCCATCGCTGGACAGAGAGGCTCCAGACGGGCCCGCAGGGATGCGGGTGAGCTAGTCTCTGTGGGACAGTCCCTGCCAAGACCTAGCTCCCAGGCTGGGCTGCCTCCCTGCAGCCTGGGGTTCCAGGCCCTCTCATCTTCTACCCCCAAGGGCACAGTGATAACCACAGGGGTGGGGGGGGTCAGGAGTGCAAAGGCTCTTGTCCCCATTTTACAGATGAGGAAACTGAATCTCCGAGAAGCAAAGTGACTGACTGGATCAACCCAGGTCTCCTGCTTGTAAACCCTTGTGTTCTTTGTGCTGCCCCTGGCTCTGGGGAGCTGAGGGTCTTGAGGGTATTCAAGGCCTGGCACACATAGCAGGCACTCACGTCTATTGATTACTTAAATGTTTATTGTTCGATTAAGTGCCTACTATGTGCCAAGCCCCCCCCCCCCAAAAGGCAGGCCCTGCCCTCAACAAGCTTCCATTCTAATGTGGTGATTTGGAAGCTGCCACACAGGAGACCTGGGCTCCTCTCCAAAGTGGAAGCCATAGCAAGGATTCACCCCTGGGGAGGAGTCCGAATGTCCCAGGGGCTGAGGGTGGAGCAGAGGAGAGCCCACCCGCAGCTGTCCCTGTTAGTCGTACTTGGGTCCGAATAAAGACCAGCTGTGAGGAGCCAGGCTTCATCCCCACCTTCCCTGGGCTGGGGCTACAGCATCTGTAAAACGAAGGCACTCCCTCATGGCTGACTTCTGGGAAAATGGGTCATTTAAACTTGCTTACTGAACTGGGCGATTCAAGCTCATTCTCTCCAACTAACCTGCTCCGACAGCTAGAAAGCCCTCACCTGGGAGTCAGGACAGAGCGGCGTGGGCCGCTCCCTAGCTGTGGGACCCTAGGCAAAGCCTCAGGTCCACCTAGAAAAAGGAGATCCCCATAAACAGAAGTTAGGTGACTCCCCCAGGGTCCTACAGCTAGCATGCATCTGAGGCAGGATTTGAACTCGGCTCCAGGCCCAGGACTCTACATTGGAGGCCTGTCTTGCTGGATAACATCTTCACAGATAAGTGGGTACAGGATAAGGTATCCAGAATAACTGGTTAGGACAAGGAGCCCCGGGGGCAATCAGGAAAGGCCTCTTGGAGGTGGCAGCCCTCCAGTGAGCCCTTAAGTGAGCAGTCTGCTGCTGCCTCACATTGCCTCCTGAGTTCTGTCCTTTCTCTGGCCCCCAGCTCCCCCTCGACCTTTGCCCACTTGATTTCCTGCCTTGGTAGCTTCAGCCCCACAATGAGGGCCAAGCCCAAACAGTGTGCGTTGTAGACGGGGGACATGGGAGGCTGGAGGGAAGGAAAGACATTCTAAGCCTCAGAGCTGGCCAGGAATGCAACGAGCTGTCCTGTAAGGTAGTGAGCTCCCCATCCCTGGGGCCCTTCAAGTGGAAGCTGGGTGATCATTTCTTGGGGACTGTAGGGAGGGATTCTTATTCAGGTCTGGGTTGGACCAGATGGCCTCCACAGACCTTCCAGAACCCTCCTAGACTGCCCTCTCTGCTACCTTCTCTGAGCTCTGGCCACTGGGTAGCCCCTTCCTCCCGAGCCCCGCTTTGCCACATGGCAGGGACGTCTGGACATCTCACCTCCCCAAGGCAGGGGCTGCAAGGAGAAGGCACCCACCCCCCCAGGGCCCTGTGGCCCATCGGTGGAGATGTGAGGGAGGCCCAGAGACCAAAGTCCTGAGGGTTCCCAACCAGCGTGCTAGAAGAAAAGGCCAGACCCACTGAGGAAGCTCCCATTTATTTTGTACGCCCCCCCCAGGCTCCCAGCAGAGGAGCCGGACACCTCAGACTGTAACCAGATAGTGTTCATCTACACCACTAGGGAAACCGAGGCAGCAGGTGTTTGCTGAGGCTCTCTGGTACAGAGAGTCCTGCCTGAGGCCCTGGCTGCAGGGTCCGCTTCTGCTCCTCTCAGGGCTTGGCCTCAGCCCAGCTTGGCAGCCTCAATGGCCCGGGCCAGGGTGAGGGGGTGTCTCCAGTCTCAGGAGGCAGACGCGGGCAGGGCTGTGATGGAGAGAAACGGATCCAAGGCTTGCCTCCTTAGGGGGCAGGGCAGGGCCAGCCTCTCCATGCACACTGGCTGGGAGCAGAGCCCACTTCTCTTCTCTCCCACTTCCTCCTCCCTCGGTCAGCCCAGGTGGGCTCCAGGAGGAGGCAGGAGCTCCAGGACTCCCTGTTGGCAGGGAAGGGGAGAGGGCAGAAGGCAGAGCCCTCCCTGCCAGCCATTCCCTTCGGGCTTCCACCACCCAGGAGAGCCCTGGAGCACCCTCAGGGACGGGTGGCCTGAGCCTTCGGCCCTCTTCTCCCTCTGCACCTTTTCTCTGGGTGATCCCATCAGCTGCCACAGATCCAGTTATCACCTCTGTGCGTTGGGGACCAAATCTACGTCTGCAGCCAACGTCCGAAACAGAGCCCCGGCTCTCTCCCCTCCAGCACTCTAAGGGACTTCTCTATGACCGTCCAGGGCACCCCTCAGGCTTCCCACCCGGGACTCATCCTCCATTCAGCACTCCCTCCCACCCCCAGACCCAGTGAGCTGCCAAGGCCTGTCAATTTTACTGGGTGGGCAGTAAGCCCTCCTGCCTCTAGGAGATCCGTCTTCCACTTGGCCGTCAAATGAAGCTTCCTAAAGCTCTGGTGCCATCATCTACTCTCCCATTCAGTGAACTGCACCAGCTCCCGGAGTCTAACACAAAACCCTGTGCTTGGCATTCAAAGCCTTTCATCACCTGTCTAGTCTTCTTACCCCTCACTCCCCAACTCGGACTCTTGGGCCCAGCGACCTGGCCTCTGGCCATTCCCCAAACAAGACCCTCCGCTCTCCGCTCTGGGCTTCTCTCCGGCTGCCCCCAGGCCTGGAATGCTCTCCCTCTTCTGCTCCCACCACTGACCTCCCGGCTCCTTTCCCAAGCCCTCTTCCTTCTAATGCCTTCGCTCCAATACTCATCCAGCTTGACCTCTAAATATCTTGATACCAAGTTGCTTCTTGTTATCTGCCCCATCAGACTGGGAGCTCCCTGAGGGCAGGGGCCGTTTCTCCTTTCTTTGCATGCCGGCACTTAGCACCTTACCGGCGCACAGTAGGCGCTTAATAAATGCTGGTTGATCAACTAAAAAGCAGAAAAGCAGGATGGAGGCACGCTAGGCTGGGGTCTAAAGAGCTCAGTGTCTCCCAAAGGGCCTCCTGCCTTTGTATCCAGCCAGGTCCCCGGCCTCCTGACTCCATCTCTTTCCACCGTGTTCCCTCCTGGTCCGGTGTCAGAGAGCAAAGTTAGGGGCAGTGAGAAGATTCAGAGAATCGCAGGATGGAGAAGCTGCAAAGGACAGACCATAGATGGCCTCTGGGCCGACCTCCATTTTACACTTGGAGAAACTGAGGCCCAAAAGAGGACGGTTTTCCTTCGGTGACACAGTGAGGGGGAAGAAAAGCTAGGATGCTTTAGTTGATGGCCGGCAGGGCTGGGAGTGTCCATTAGCCGACTTTCTGAAACAGGCCCATTCCTCCAGGGAGCTGGCCGGACCCCCAGCAGCGATCAGACGCCCTTCCTGCCGCTAGCAGGTTCTCCTAGGCCTTCGAAGTCAGAAGTGGGGGGAGCCGTAGGATAGACATCTGACGAACGTCCTTGTAAGCCTCCCCAGCTTGCCCCCAAATGCTGCCAGGCCCACAGGCAGCAGGGTATGCTGGAGCTCCGAGGCTGCAGGCATTCTGGCCCCAGAGCCAAGGAGGGGACATCCACGTGGGAGAAGAGCTGGGCTTCTCGTGTTCCGTCCCAGGGTGGGCTGGCCAGGCCCCAGACCAGAAGCTGATGACACCGGCCTTCCTCAGTCTCGGGCAGCTTTGTCTTTCTCTGGGTCAGGGTTCTGCTGATGAAGGAACCAGAACAGGGAAAGGAGGGTGGCCAGTGAGGGCTGGGGCCAGGGCGACGCAGCCTCAGAGGCCAGGGAGGGAGGTCAGAGCTTCAGTGTGACATGCTAGGGAAAGAGAACAGAGGACAAGTCAAAACTGGACGGAGGACAGGATGCAGGCCCGGCCCTGCCTGCTCCCCTCCGGTGGGGGGTGACTGAAGGACCACCCAACTCATCTTCTGTCTTGTCCTCTCTGAGGTTTCCGGCCCCAAGGGGCAGCAGACAGGCAGACTGCCGTGGGGGAGCTGGGAGACGAGGGCTGAGACCAGAGGAAGAGGCCAGGAGGCTGGAAGGCCCACGGGTCTGAGTCAAGGCAGCTCCAGAGGGAGACCCTGATGGAGGTGAGGTGACCAAGAAAGGTGTCAGAGGGGAGGAGATGGGGTGAACTGAGAGCAGACCAGGGGGATCAGGGGCCTGCATTGGAGAAGATGGAGGAGGTGGCTGACCAGAAGGGGAGGCAGGGGCCTGCAGAGGCACGGGAAAGGTCTGGGCCGTAAGAAGGGCTCGCTGTCTGGCCGGGGGAGCCTGGGCGGCTGGCTCAGTCTGGCTCCAGCAGTCAGGATGAGGCCGGGCAGAGGCAGGCACCACAGCCAGGAGGCAGACGCGCTGGTGCTCCTCCAGGGCCTGCAGCCAATGCTTCGCCTCGGCCTGCAGTGACCAGATCTCCTTCCGAAGGGCGAGGTTGTCCCTCTCCAGCCACTCGTGTTCCTGGGGCCCGAAAGAAACAAGGGAAAGGCTTCATCAGAGCCGGGAAGCCAGGACAAAATGGAGACTCCCAGCCACTCCAATCCCGAGGCTGGTCCACGCTGGCAGGACTGTGGCAAGGCAGGCACACGCTGCTCCTCGGCGCTGGAGCAGTGAAGGGTCCAGCTGCTCCGGATTTAGTTTGGAATTGGGCAGGAAAAGCAAGGAAGCTGCTCATACTCTCTGAGCCAAGGGCCCATCCATTCGGTGTATAACCCACGGTGGTCAGAGCTGGCCAAAGAGAGCAAAGACCAGTGCCAATACAGACCAAAATATTCATAGCAGCCCTTCGCACGGTAGCCAGACCCAAGAACTAGAAACAGAAGTGGGAGCCCATTCACTGGGGGCAGGTTTGAAAAACCTTAGTCCATGAACGCAATGGGCTGTCATGGTGCAACAAGAATGAGAAGGTTTGGGTGGAAGGATGCAGGTCAGAATAAAGAGGCCTAAGAGCCAGATGCATGATGACCACAACCACGTGATGAGAAGATTACGAAAGGAAAGCAAACTCTCAATAATAATAAAAACAAAAAACAAAACCCAGGGATCGTCTGGGAGAAGAGAGCCTAAGCCATCTCCCTTCTCTGGCCAGAGGATGAGGGACCGCTGGGCCAGAATGCAGCATCTGCCGTCAGTCAGTCAGTCGCTACAGCCCCTTCTGAGTTTTCTCCTCCTCCATTAGACTGGGAGCTCCTTGTGGGCAGGGACATCTTTTGCCTCTTTTTGTATCCCCAGCACTTAGCACAGTGCCCACCTGGCTTATAGTGGGTGCTTAGTAAATGTTGATTGATTGATTGATTGATTCTCCAAGCTAAATACCCCTAGCTCCTCCTATGCCATGATCTCCAGGCCTGCCACCATCCTGGTCCCCTACTTGCAAACTCTCTTCAGCTTGTCAGAGTCCTTCCTAAAATCTGCAGCCCAAGGCTGAGCTGAGTGGTTGGGGATACTTCTCTGGAGCCAGGTGAGCCTGAGAACATCACGTCCCCTCCAAGAGCCTCAGTTTCCTCCCCTTGTGGGACCTGCTAACGTGCTGTAGAAAGGTGACCTGTGAAGGATGACGGACGGTGGCTTCTGTTCTGTTAACAAGCTTTCCAGGATCCAGGGAGAGCCCAGATTCTGGACCCCAAACTGAGGCCTCCCTGGAAGAGCTGAGGTCAAGCATCTGAAAAACTAATCCCTGGGAGAGGGATCAGGCCTGTCTGCTTGGCCCCAGAAGGCAAAACTGGGAGTGACGGAGAACAGGAGCCTGACGTCAGGAAAAGCTGCCTAACACTGAGAACAGGGATGAACTCTTGGAAAGCAGTGAGTCCCTGTCACCTGAGGTATTCGAGCAAAGGCTAGGAGTGTTGTGGAGGGGACTCAGGCTCGGGTAGGGGTTGGACTGCATGCCCTCTAAGGTCCCTCCCAACTCGAGGATGCCGGATTCTGTGACTGGAGCCCGGGGAGAGAAGAGGTGGTGAGAAGAACAGGGGAAGGGTCCTGTGACCGGGGAAGGGAGACCCAGACCTGGTGCAGCTCATCCGCCTTATCCGTATGCTTCTGCCGGCTCCGCTGGGCCGCCACTCGGTTCTTCTGTCTCCGCTTCAGCTGTCTGTCCACCTCCCTGGGGTCCTGGGGGCAAGAAGTCCTTGTTCTACCACAGAGCTGGATTTCTGCCAGGGATGAGCCCCCAGCTTGCTCCAGGATGTCCCTCAGGATGCCTGCCTCCTCCAAGAAGCCTACCCTGATTAGAGCATCGTGGACAGGTTCACCCTCTGCAAAGCGGACTTGCTGTGCCCTTCCCCTGCGCCAATTACCAACACAAGTTAGACATTCAATGAATCCAAGCAAAGGCTTTCTATAGCCTCCCATCGTGGGCTGCTGGAGTGTGAAAGGAATCCCGGCTGGGGCCAGAGGATCTGGTGGCGAGGGCAAGGTCCTCCCTCTCCCAGCCTCTCTTAATTCCAGAGCTTGCTCTCTTGTCATTATTTCCAATTTATTCTGTTCAGACCTTGTTTATACCTGGTGGTTTGCCAGGTACAGGCAAAAAAACTTCTAGCTTTTCTTTGTAAGTCCAGCACACAGTAGGCACTTAATAAGTGGACCTCGGGTTCCCAATCTGTCAGGCAAAAAAGCTTGGATTAAATGAGTTCCAAGCTCTCTTCCAGCTGTAATTATTATTAATTATCATCGGTATTAGGCAGGTTCAGGAGGACACAGCTGGGTGCTCCATCCCCCTCTCTGAGCACTGACCCAGGCAGCAACTGCCCTATCTGAGAAGTCTCGTTTGGGGAAGACTTTTGTAACACTCTGAATTTTGCAAAATACTTTCCACATGTTATCTCATTTGAGCCTTACCCAGAGCCCTGGGAAGAAAGTACTATTATTATCCCCATTTTATAGATGAGGAAACTGAGTGTGGGAGGAGAGAAGAGACTTGCCCAGGGTCACACAGCAAGCAAATATTAAGGGTGAGATTTGAACCCAAGTCCAGCATTGGACTAGGAGAGAAGATAGGAGAGCAACCCAAAGCCCGAAGTCTTGGGTTCTAATCCAGCCTCTACCTCTCTGGGCCTCGTCAGTCAAACATCCTGTAGTGCCCCATCCAGTTAACGTTTGACAGATAAATGGATGATGAGTGCGAAGGGGATGCAGGCTATCTGGAAGAGGAAAAGAGGAAGCCAGAACTGGTGTGAAGGAAGCCTCGGGTCTGGTACAGGAACCAGGGCTAAGTCAGAGAAAAAACCACATTGGGTTTGAAAGCCAAGCAAAGTTCAGGGATGGGGCAGGGGCCTGGATGGGGTGAACATTCGGAAGACTTGTAAGAGAGCAACCTCTTTGTTGTACAGAAAGGGAAACTGAGGCACAGAGAAGGCCCTTGAGCCAAGTTAGTGGCAGAGTCAGGTCTAGAACACAGGTCTGCCAACTTGGAATCTACCGCGGCTCTCGGCCCCTGCGATGGAGGCAGAGAACTTTAGGCGTGAGAGCTGGGGTCAGGTTTTCATCCCCTATTGGAAGCCTCCTATCTAGGGCATAGATAGACCCTCTCCTGGTGTTCCGGATTCCCTCCTTTCCCAAACCCCGCTTCCCTTGTCCAGCTACTGACCGTCACCAGCAGAAGCTTCCCTTCCTTGGAGGGGGGTGCCCCACTGCACAGGTGCATAGCCTGCTTCCTGATGGGAAGGCCGGGTGACTGAGAGACTCGGGGCGTCCTCTTGCTGTCTGCAGCTTCCAAGTTCCCAGCCTCGGCTGCAGGAAGCAAAGTCTTTAAATCTCTGGTGACCACACCACCCCCAGTGCCCAGTTTCAGTTTCTCTGAAACCCTCAGGCTGCTCAGAATCCCAGGCTCCCGGGGTGCCCACGTGGCTGGACTTTCCTAATATGACCAAGCTTTCCGGGAGGGCAGCGGCCTGCCAGGGAGGGCTGGCTCAGGGCTTACCGGGGAGACGCCGAGACAGAGGGACGGAGGGAGGGGAAATGCTGGAGAGCTCCAAGAAGCTAGCCCCTGATGAAGGGAGCCCAGGAGAGCCCTGAAGCCTGGGGTCTCTGAAGGGGAGAGCTAGCTCCCATCATGGTCTGGTGGCCAGAGGAAAAGCCGAGGAGGGACCGGGACAAGGCTTGGAGGCTGGAGAAACTGGGGAGGGGGGTGGTGAATCCGAGCTCTCACAATTGCTAGCTGTGTGGCCTTGACCAAATCACCGAACTGCCTACCTCAACGTCCCCATCTGTAAAATAAGAGGGTTGGATAACACGGTCCCTGAGGTCCCTTCCTGGGCTAAATGGCCTAAGAGAGTCTGGTGGTGTAGTGGAAGAAACTCTAGACCTGAAACCAGACGACCTGGGTTCAGATCCTGCCTCCTAACGCTTGCTAGCTGTGTGACTATCGCCATGTGAGCCTCAGTTTCCTCAGCTGTAAAGTGAGGGGGTTAGAGTGGATGCCCTCTGACATCCTGGAAAGTCCTGGCTTTACTTCTGCCAGGACTCGATGCTAGGCGTCCACTCTGTCCCCCGTAGGACAGGAACAACCAACCATCCTCCCATTTCCTCCCTCCCTCCCCGGGCTTGTTTCCCCAAAGGGGAGTTCAGCTGTAAAGGGCTTCTGAGGCAAGCCTTACCGGTCTCGGCCTTGGGGGCAGAAGCCCTGAGCCAAAGTCCCCACTCCCCTAGAGAGTGAGGACGGTCCCTGCCCCCCCCCCTGCCCACCCCTCCCCCCCCGGGGGCAGGTCCGAGGTTCAAGCGAGCGGGAGCTGGGAAGTCCTTAGAAATGTGAGCAGTTATGATCACATCTATCTGGTTGGGCAAAGGAAGCCCAAAGGTGGGGAGGGGGCCTGCTCCGGGGGAGAAAGCGCGGAATCAGGGGCTGACTTGGGGGGAGCACCTCAGGCACGAGGGGACTGGCAAGGGCTCCTCAGGGATTCTGGAATTAGAGCCATATTGGGAGGCAGCGAAAAACACACTGAGTCAGAGAGTCAGAGGGCCGAGTTCAAATCCTGACATTCCCTGCGTGACCTTCCCTGTCTACAAAAGCAAGGGGGTTAGATGCGATGCCCTCAGGAGTCTCTGATGCCCCCAGGAGTCTCTGATGCCCCAAACCCCAGACGGGAAACTGAACCGGTTCTTTTCCTGGGGTGGACAAACAAGCGAGTTGAAGCAGCAATCCCTTTATAGGAATATATACGTTTGAATTTTTGATCTCCCCAGAAACAGAGAAGAAATCAGACTCTTACTGAAGACGTTGCCCTTCTCCCAAGGGGCTGATTAAGCAGCCTTGTTCAGTGACTCACCAGGGCTGCATTTGAAGCCCCGAGCATGATGTAACTGCAGGAAAGCAGCACCTGGTGTGTGGGTGTGGCCAGGACTGAGGGTCCCCTGGCCCCACCCTCCATTCTCACCTCCCCCAGGCTGCTCTGTAGGGTAGGGACAGAGTCTAAAGGTTGGCCTGGGGAGCTCTTAGGGCCTGGGGGTGGGTGGGATGGAGGGGCGGGGGGCAGGGGAGACAGGATGCTCCCTGAGCACTTTTTCTCCCTGGGATCATAGGGGGCCCGGGAAGGCTCCCAGGGCTGCCCCCAGCCCCTCCCTGCACATCCGGGGTCATCTTTGGTGCATCAGTGGGTAGGAGAGGCCCTCCTGCTGAGGGCATAACTGGAGACCTGCCCCGGCCCTGGCCCTCAGCACCTTCTCTGTGGTGCTGTGAAGATCCATCAAACCTGTTCTCGGGGAACTGACATTCCGGGGCCATCCTGGCGTGATGGGTAGAGGTCGGGACTCAGGTCAGAAGAGCTCAAGGTACTCTCTGTGTGAGCACTCTGGGCCTGTTTCCTCCTCTGTAAAGCGGCTTGGGGCTGTGATCATCAAGCATAGTAATGTCAGGCATTGTTAGCCAAGCCGGGGTGGGGGGGGTGGGGGGGGTGGGGGGGGTGTCGGTCGGTCATATGCTGCTTGGACCAGATCTCCCCACTTAGGCCTCACTGATTTTATATACCTCCTTTTTGTGTAGCTAACATGTCTTTATATGATACTTTAGGGTGGCAAAGTACTTTTCAAATATCTCATTTGAGCCTCAAAACAATCCTGGGAGGTAGGTGCTATAATGATCCCCCTTTTATAGTTGAGGAAACTGAGGCAGGCAGCAGTTACATGCCAAAGTTGCACAGCCAGTGTCTGGGGTCAGATTCAAACTCACGTGTTCTTGACTCCAGGTCCAGAGCTTCATGTATTGATATTGGAATTCATCTAATTAGAAACATTTGGAAAGCAAGTCTAATTGATTGATGGTTAATATTCACTTTACAATTAGTCTTTTTTAAGCTTGTGTACCTCCTTCTTTGTACAGTATTTCTTTTCTTTTGAAGAAATATGATTTGATGACTTTTGTTTCTACGTTACAGGCCTTTCCCTGGGAGCCCACCCTCCCTCCCTGGTTCCCAGTGTCAAGGGGAAATGGGAAAGTCAAATCCCAGAGGCAATGAGGCTGTGGGTCCCACTGAGACTCTGAGGGGATATGGTGGTCCAGGGGATGGGGGTCCTTTGGCTTGCCTGGTGAACGCTGCCTCGTCTCCCCCTCAGAGCACCTGGCTGCAAACAGACCAGGTGGACCAGAGTGAGAGGTTGCCAGAGTGAGGGGAGACAGGGTTGGAGACCTTCAGGGCATGTGATGACTTGCAGCCTTGAAGCTCTAAGGGCCTGACGGGCTTCCGAGGAGCTGACACTTTGCTGGGACCTTAGGTCCGAGGGGAGGCCGTGCCCCAACCCCTGATGAGCTTACAGGCCACTATGCCTTTTGTCTGTCTTTCCTAAGCCTCTTCTGGGTAGAGCTACCCATTGGGACTTAATCAAGGAGATAAAACTTAGGACTTAGGTGAGACAAACGGATTTTATTAAGCTCAGGATCTGGGGCGGGAGAGGGAGGAGAATGGGAGTGAGCCGCTGGGAGTCCCTGAGGTGCTTTTACCAATGGGCTCCTGGTCAGCCTTCACATTTTGTCCGGGCTATTGTGGCCTGCCACCAGGACGCTGTGTGGTATCTTGGGGCTGACGCACCCGCAGAGTCAACCACAAACAGGACTATGAGAAGGGCTTATTCTCCTGGGCCCCGGAGGGTAGAACCAGGGGCAATGGGCCAGGGCTACAAAAAGTCAGGCTTGAGGGGCAGCTAGGTGGCACAGTGGATAGAACACCGGCCCTGAAGTCAGGAGGACCTGAGTTCAAATCCTGCCTCAGACCAAACACTTGACACGTACTAGCTGTGTGACCTTGGGCAAGTCACTTCACCCCGATTGCCTCACACACACAAAAAAAGTCAGGCTTGGATTGGAGGTCAGCAAAAGCTCCCTCACCAGGAGAGGCTGCCCAGAGGGGAGCGGGCACAGAGCCTGGCCCATAGCACTTAGGAAATGCGGGCTGGGTGGGAGGGTGGAGGGGGCAGCCCTCCTCCTCAGAGGTCCTCACCGCAGAGGCCTGATGGCCATTTGTCAGGGAGGTTAGAGGGAGGAGTCCTTTTGGTTCTGGGTTCGACTGCAGGCTGCCAAGCTGCCTTGACCTTCCAGAGCTGTGGGTCTGTGCCTCTCCGATGGACTGATAGCGTCCATCCAGGGGAGCAGGTATTGTCCGGCGGAAGGAGGGCTGGCCTTCAGCCTCCCCCTCCTCGGTTCCCAGCCCCCAGGGCCTTGCAGCCTTCCCTCTGGTGCTTAGCTCCAGTCTACCCATCTCTAAGTGTGTTTGGTGCCACCTTCTTTACGTGCTGTCCCCCCCACCCTGTTAGACTGGGAGCTTCTTCAGGACAGACGGGGTCCTTTGTCTTTATATCCCCATCGCTCAGCACAGGTCCTGAAACACAGCAGGGGCTTAATAAATACTAACTGACTGATCTACTTTAGAGTCCTGTCTGCTGTCCTTACCAGTCTCATTACTGTGGACATTTTATAAAATCTCTGCTTGAAAGGGCCACCAGAGATGAACTCTGTCCTTAGAGAAGAGTTGGAAAAAAGTACCACATTCCTTTTGTGAGAGGTGGGGGCCTACAGGTGTGGAAAGGGGCATTACAATTGTCCCATGCAGGGGTGGGGAACCTGCAACCCTGAGGCCACATGTGGCCCTCTAGGTCCTCAAGTGCAGCCTTTTGACCGAATCCAAACCTCACAGAATAAATCCCCTAAATAAAAGGATTTGTTCTGTAAAACTTGGCCGCACTTGAGGACCCAGAGGGCCACATGTGGCCTCAGGGTTGCAGGTTCCCCATCCTTACCTCAGACCTTGATGGAGAAAGCCCAGCACCCTGAGCTCCAAAGCCTTGGGAACAGCAGTGACTCCCCAACCTGCAAGGCAGCCCAGCCCCTGTGGAGAAGGGACCCACCTTCCTTATGACCACCAGCAACAACTGCTTACCAACTGTCACCAACAGGCAGAGAGTCCTAGGACTAGCAGCCCCCCACCCCTACCCAGACCACCCAGTCCACTACAAATTTACGTCACTTAACCTCAACTGGGCCCTCACTGCAGCACAATCTTTTTACAAATCCCTAACTGATTCAATTTTCCATTCACCAAACATTTCCATCCCTCCTCAAACCTCCCACAACCCCCCTCCCCTCCACCCCCATCAGCTGAGAACCTTGACTGGATTTTACTGGAAAACCTAAGACCATTTGCTGAGAGCTCTTCTTGTCAGGTCCTCAATTTGAATCTGCCACTGTGGGGGCCTGATTGGGGAAGAGCCACAAAATACAGTAATAAGTGAAAACGCCATAGAAACGTAAACCCTGTGAAAGGTGGAAGCCCGAACATGGTGACCTGTTAGAAATCCTAACTTAGAT